GGCGCTGCGTCATGGGCTGCTGCTGATCCGGAGACGGCCGTAGCGCTCGAGCAACTCTTTGGTTCCGACATGCTAGGACCAGCAGGCCTCGCCGAAGTGCCCCCCAGGGGGGGGGGTTTCGCTCCCCATCACAATTGTCTAATTGTACACTCCAGTATCAATTAACACAAGGTTCAAACAAAAATTAAAAAAATTAAAACGATTAAAAATGTTTTCAAACTTTCCAACTTTAAAATTTCCACCGCCGGAAAGGCATCCCCGATAGTCGACATATATATGGCGGCAAAAAGTTCCAAATAATTTTCGAGTCCAATAAATAATCGTTAGTGTCCCAAGTGGTCGCTAGACGTATGGGAAAATACACCAGCGCCCTCTAGCGGTACTCACTCGGACCAAGGCACAACAAAAAGAGAATGAAATTTAAAACAACTTAAAACTAAAAGTTTCACTGGCACAGGCCTAAATAAAAGATGTCGCTAGCTTCTCAGTTATTGTGGCGACACTAACTTAAACTAATAAAATAAGAACTGAACTATAAATAAAGTGTCACTGTCACAGAAATAGTGCAACTTAGCTGTCACAAGTGTCGCTGAGGCGCGGACAGTCACACCTGGCGCCACTAAGCGGCGCAAGGCGCAATGGTCACGCCGCCTGCACTACCAGGCACAGATAGCACAAACCCTGCCGGTTGTGCGCACGGCGCCCGCAGATGGCGTTACAGTGCCGGAAACGTACACTATCGCCCCCTGGTGGCGATTAGATACCAAAAGTTCGAGAAGGGTCTCGAGCGACCTGTCAAAATCGAATTTCGACTTTGATAGCCACGTGTCAACACTACCCAGTAAGGTCACAATGTTACAAAATATGTACAAAAACAGTCTAATTTAGCGTCAATTCGCAACAACTAATACCGATATTAGCACTATATAGCAAAATAAAAGTGTCTATAATAAAACAGCAATAAAACACGGCTAAAATACAATAAATAACAAAATAAATGCAAGCACAAGTTAGCGTAAGCTCGCGACACGTCCGATCACTACAACGATCGGAACCGAAGTTTCAACCTCCAAGGACAAGTGGGTCCGGCCCAATGCCACCACCAGGCTTTCGGGCACGCTTCTGCCAACTACCACAGGCCAGTTAAGTGCGCTCGCAGCGCCGGGAAACACATTTAGAGTCAATGCCCTAGGGGTAGAGAGGAGGAACGTAACTAGAGGGAGGCAAACAGAGACACCCGCAATACCAATGGAAACAGTGGAACCCGTAGCAGCAAGGGCAAGCACCGGGGTGACTCCACAGCCCCCCGCTAACGACGCCACGGAGCGTGAGCCCTCCAGGAAGAGGAAGGGGGGGAGAAAGAAGAAGAAGATGCAGCCTCGTCATTAGGCAGCTACCTCTACCCCAACCCAAACGGTAACGATAGCCTCACATGCTCAGATTACCAGGAAGGACAACCACAGATAGTAGAGTGCCAGAAAGAGCTCTATCAGAAAATAGAGCCCGCTCTAATCATAGAGCATGCTCTGCCATAAGGAAAGAGACTAAAGCCCAGCCGAGACCAGTACCAACCACAACACCTAGACAGCCAACAGCCAACCAAAGCAGCACAGACGCAATTCAGATGCTGGTTGGCATCACCATTAAGGTCCGCAGCCAGGTCCTGGCTGACAGCGGAGCTGGAGCCGACACAATTACCGCAGTGATGAGAACGCTTGCACAGTTACTGGCTCGGCACTACAGAGGCGAGTAACATGAACCTGTGCCTGCTCTACTGGAATCCGGACGGTCCCCAGCAGAAGCTTTATGAACTCCGCACTGTCGCTTAACATCAGGACATACATATAATCTTGCTGGGAGAGACAAAGTTGAAGCCATCTACGCACATCAAGATACCCAACTATCGCATATACAGGAGGGACGAAGTCAATGCTCAAGGAACCGTCTATAGAGGCACGGCGGTTCTAGTCAGAAAGGACATCGTTCACTCAGAGCTCGATTTACCATCACACCGCGAGGTGGGCGAAGAACTAAGAATCTTGCAGCATACCGCCCGCCAGGGACTCCATTTTACTCCTCAGACATCCGGACGATCATGGAAGGCACAGCACCTACAATCATCGCGGGGGACCTAAACGCAAAACACCCGGCATGGGGATCCAGAATGATCACCCCGCCGGGTCGTGAACTTTACGAAGACGCAGAACTTAATAACTATGACGTTTTAGGTTTCGAAGAGCCTATTTACGTTCCAGCTGACCACCGAAGAAGGCCGGATGTATTGGACATCGTACTCGCTAGGAACGTCAAGTGCCCGATAATGGTAGAGGTGCTGTATGACCTGAGCTTACAGCACCTCCCGATTCTGATTACCCTTGGCCTCAAGGCGATGAGCCCAGAGGCCCAGAGTTTTTAAAACCAAGATTAACTGGAGGCTCTATCAGCAACACCTGCAGGAGAGACCTCCAGTACACCCACCAATCAACTCAGCAGACGACGTAGAGGCCGCTGCAACTAGAATAACAACGTACATCCAAGAAGCCCTCTAACTAATCGTAGAGACGAGCTGCCACAAGAGTTACGTGCGCAGCTCAACCAAAAACGAGCGCTGCGGAAGTTTTGGGCACGCACTCGCTGCCTACGAATGAAAACACAACTGAACAAGCTGACAGATGAGTTATCGGTTGCAATCCAGGCCCACAGAGGAAAGGCCTGAGAACGACGCATATGGAAAGCCGAAGATCAGGAAGCGTCGCTCTACAAATTGAACCGGCAGCTAACTAAGACTAGTCCCCCCGTCTGCCAGCTGACCAACAACGCGGGTGGACGTTGTTACGAGGTCAAAGGTAGAGCGGATATCCTAGACGAGCATTTAGAGGAGCGATTCATGCCGAACCCAGCAAGTGCGGAGTACATGGAGCTTCATGCCCAAAAGGAGAGCCGCGTACGGGAGTTCCTGTCGTCTCCCGCGCCACCGCTTACAAAAGAGTGGTTCATCTCTCCTGCTGAACTGCGGGGAACAGTAACCCGCCTGCAACCGAGGAAGGCGCCGGGGCACGACCGGGTAACGAACGCTGCACTTCGACAGCTGCCTAATAGAACCATTGTAGAATTCGGACGACTCTACAATGGTATACTGCGGACTTCACACTTTCCGGAGGACTGAAAAACCGGCAAAGTCATAGTTCTGCCGAAACCCGGAAAGGACAGGCGTAGAGCAGCTACTTACAGACCTATAACACTGTTACCGCACAAAGCCAAATTATTTGAAAGATTCGCTCTAAAAAAATCCGCCCGTGTATCCAACTTCGGGCGGAGCAACATGGATTTAGGAGGGGACACTCCACAGCAACTCACCTGACCACAGTGCTACACCACCTGGCTGCCGAACACAACCGGGATCGCATGTCATTGGGCGTCTTCGATATCGAGAAGGCTTTCGACAGGGTGTGGCACTCTGGACTACTCTTCAAGATGATACAACAAACGAGTATCCCTCCGGCTATGCTGCGGCTAGTGGCGTCATTTCTAGCCGAACGGAGCTTCTACGTTTGTCTCGAAGATGCCGAATCCGCAGTAAAACACATAAGAGCTGGCATACCACAGGGCAGCTGTCTCTCGCCGATCCTGTACGTGGCTTACACCAATGAAATACTAACACTGGCAGGACACCTACACGAATGGGAGGACGACGTAGAGCTGGCGCTATACGCGGACGACAGCGCCTACTTCACCTCGTCCAGAAGAGCCCATCTCGCCGCCGCCAAGATGCAACGCCTGCTGGACCTGCTGCCACCGTGGCTGGATGAATGGAGGATGGCTGTAAATGTTGGCAAAATGACCGCTCTCCTCACCCGCCGCTACAGGAACTTCCCGCCCCCGTTGACTAGTGTCAGTAGAGGTCAGGAGATAGCGTATGAGAAGGCCGTGGCCTACCTTGGGTGCCGGATAGACAGGATGTTGCGCAAAACCGCGCACGTCGACATCGTCGTCCTGGCATCCAAGCTTTCAATAAGAACCAAGCTAAAAATTTACAAATTATACATTAGACCGAAAATCACCTACGCTGCTCCGGCTTGGTACGCACTCCTGAGCGAACGGCTGTAGGCCCACCAGAACCTATCATCCCGAACTCAACGTGGTGTGATTTATGTTTCGATGTAGAACGTTAATGACCTGTTGGATCCTTTCACCTGTGGTATTTGATAATTAACGATTTAATCACGGCAAATTAATTCCTTACTGTAGACAACCAGGCGATACTTATTACAGGCAAATCGGCAAGCATTGTCTGCGATCTCACACAGGAAGCGCTACTAATGTTAGAAAGATTTAGTATTTCTTATGCCTTAACACTAACACTCCTCTCAAACTTTACCTTGATGGTATGCGTATTCGAGTGTAGAGGTGTGGTTACTGAACCTTACGTTGTCTTGAGTTTTGAATACAGACTATGTAGCCCGGTCTCGCCAGCAACCCAAATTTGCATTTAGACAGAAATTTGCATTTAGAAAAAGGCAAAGTTAGGAGCTTTTTAGGTGCTAATTAGGTGTCAAGTTTAACAATTAGGAGCTCAAAAATTTTCACCGCAACGTTGCTGGCAAAATGTATTGCGATAATAGATAAACGATAAATATTAATAGCACGGAATTAAGTGATATATAATACGAGTATATAAGGATATAGGATATTTCTTTCTTGTTATCGTAATAAATATATATTAAATATTTTAGTAACTAAACAGGTACAAGCAAATAATTCTCTTCATTATTTCTTTGCGGCCACTGTTATATGAGGACAATCTTTTTATATGTATGAAAGAAAACATATAACAATAATACTAAAAATCTTTTTATTTCATTAAAATTTAACAGTTTGCATAAGGTAGTGAGCGTCTATATCATAATATATATTATTATATTATACCTATGTCCATATTATAATGTTATTATAATGTTTCTAGTTAATAACACACGTTTTTCCTATAAGATTTTAAGCTTTTAACCCATTTTTGTATGTGAATAGCCTGACGGCATATTGGTTGTTACTTCTTTGTATAGGTCTTTGTACACCGCCAACATTTTTTCTCGCACCTGGTTCGTAAGCTTCTCGACATCGTTTAGGGTTAATCCTTTTGTAGGTATGGGATTCAAACACTGAATGACAACATGACCTGAAACAGAGATTGTTTTGGAAAAGTTGACCTAGAAACTGTAATAATATGATTTAACTCATTTGCATTTTCGGTTACTTCCTAATCGAAAATAAATGCTATTCTTGGCAAACTTCGTTCGTCACTCATTAGTTGGCCTTAGAATATAAAAACATTCGTTTAAAATATAATTTCGTGTAAGAAAAATAGGGGAGAGACCTTAATTTTTTTTTTATAGAAATAGGGTGGCAAACGAGCACACAGTCCACCTGATGGTAAGTGGTTGCTGTGGCCTATAGACATCTACATTTATCAAAATGCAGATGCGTTGTCAGCCTTGAGGATTAAGATGAAATGCCTCTTTTCCAGTAAAAAGGGTCTCCGGTTCTCTACACTCACCATACGAAACACAGCAGCATTAAGCTGCTATTTTACGCTGGTATTCTGTGAGCGCGTGGTCCATCCCCGGTCGAGCCGACCCATTCGTGCTACAACTACACTACTAATATAGCTGCAGCCTGGCTCTACCACGTATTATAATTGCAAATGTTATTTTAAAATTCGCCAGATACGCTTCCAAAGCCTTATTAGGCTAACCATTTTTCTTTCTTTGTTTATCGGCACATAAAAGTGCATTGCAAGACATGAACCTCTCCCGTTGTGGGGAGGCCTAAGACGAAATATTTATTTATAATGGTCAGCAGGCCAGGAAACCTCCAAGTCGACCATTCTTCTCTAATAGTTACAAATTACAATTTAACATTTTGGTTAGTATTTTTCTTAATTGCCACACTTGGTGATCGCAGTATCAGATGTCTCGCATATTTTACGTGTTTACCTATGCCAGATATAAAATAATCTATTAATGAGGTATAAGGGGAAATGTAATAACCATTTTATCAAATCTCAATCTCATTTGCAGGTGGTGCTTCTATTGATTGACGAACGAGGTTATGACGGCCGATTCAATTCAATAGTACCGAACTCAAATTTTAGATAATGAGCGGTGAGACATTAGCGGCGTGCGGGTATCCGCTTTTTTTTCATTAGTTGTATATGCAACATTTATAAGAATTGCACGCTTACTGGTGCATTCATCAAAAGTTCTACATAATAGTAGTATTTAGCAGTGGATTTAGGATACCGACATTGCGATGTCATGTCTATTATTATTACTAAAAACATGTTTTGCCTTACCTTTATTCAAAATACCTTTTTCGTTATTTAAAAAATAGTACGGCGAGAAAACAACAGGTATGACTGGGACTTGAGCAGCAATGGCCATATGGAATGCACCTTTTTTGAAAGGCAAAAAACTCGTGCAATCTTTATTCCTCGTACCTTCAGGAAACAACCAGATCTTCGTCTAAAAAGAAATAACAAATTTATATTACATATTGTTCGCGAAATGTTCTTACCTATATACATAAGTTAATTTTACATATACCTATTAACTTTATGTAACGACGACGGTTACTGAAATTTTTATATAAGAATGGCCAAAGGTGGGTAATTTTTTTTAAATACATAGTATATTTGTATATTATGCGCTCGGTCCGTCTCGTATGCTAATCATAAGCCCCGAATACTTTCAGTTCAAATTAAACAATATATTTTCAATGTGTACAATTCTCACTTTTAAAAATTAATTTCATATCCTCTCAAATTTAAAAGTAACATAATATACAATATTTTAATACACAATATTAAAAATTATAATAAAATAAAAATAAAAAACTAAACTTTGTAGGCCTGTATGATAATTAAGCTTAGTAACTTAATTATCATACAGGCCTACAAAAGTTAAGTTAAATTTCAACTTTCCTAAGGCCGTTAGTGATTTTTATGATATATATACTATTTGATGACTACCTTTTTCTAGATACACGCCTCTCTTTATTTATAAGAGGATTATGGAGCTGGAAAGAATTTCAGGCTTTGCGGTAGTGTGTGCTGACTATAAATCATGTTCTCAAAATAATGGGAATTTTTATGTTAAATAGATTTCTTCATGATATGTGATGGCGTTAGATATTTAATGACGATTGAGCGTGGTTAAAATTAGTGCTTAAAATTGCGATAAAGAATTTAAACCGTTCTGTTGATATTGTTGCGCGCCACTATTAATGTCTTGTACATGGCAACACTAGTTACCACCAGCTTCCTCTAGTGTCGAGTAGTAGAACTAGGAGAGTCAAGATCATTCTAGAAATTTCGGGACCGATATGTACTCGAACATTCTAGATGTCGCTACAGTAGAAGGTTCGGGTAACTATCTGAGGCCTTATATAGGGCCGGTATAGACCACGACCGAGTCAGGAATTGGCGATACAAGAGAATACTTCGAAGCGAAACAACTGCGAACTTAAGTCATCAGTAGTACAATTGTGTTTTATTATTAGTGTGGTTTTAGATTGTAATTAGTGTTGTGTAATTAAAGTGTCAATTTTGGTAATTCAATCGGCAGGTTTTAATTGTCTCGAACCCCAAGCTCGTAACAATATTAATGTTGTTGTTGATGGAATATAGCGTTCGTTGCCAAAACAAATGTATTTGTGCAATATGTAAGGTTTCGCCAGAGCAATCCTGTGAATCACTGGCTACGCGCGTTACGTAGCGTTAAGTAATTTTGACATGCATTAATACTTTGTTTGAAGTTGTATACAGGTGACCATGAGCTGCAGTAGCCACTTACCATTAGGTGGACTGTAAGTTACTTCAATTTCCAAATAATTATATTGAATCTTTAATATATAACGTGTATTTTCAAACCTTTTCTTTCACCATAACGTCTGTCTGAATTTTAAGTTGATTATATGCGTGTTTAGAGTTCTTTCTATCTATAAATATGGTTCCAGCAAGGTATGCCGTCAATCCAAACGGCATGGCATACAATAATTCTTTTTTAACAACGACTTTTAATTTATCTGCCCATCCCCAGATGTTGAACAGTCCTGGAAAAAAATACTTAAACATTCAGTGGGATTGAAAATGATATGTTCCTATTCATTCAGAAAGATATTACGACTTTGTGGTATAGGTTAGTATTTCAGTCGTACTTAATAAATAGTTGTAAATATTTTAGGTTTGAGTGGAATTTGATTGTCTTTCAATGTGCCAGAATTCTCGTTATATTCAATTTTGATTACTAGTAGTAGTATTGTTTTTTTAACTTATTACAAGTAAGTGTTTCATCACTGCTTGATATGTGGTGATAAGAGGTGATAAAGCTCTATATTAATAATAATAGATTTTAATATATTTGGTCTATTAATAATCTCATAAATTACTTTTTATTAATTACATACCTAAAGCATCGAGAGCTGCTTGATGGTTTGAAACAACGATGGCTCCACGTTCCTCAGCTAATATTTCGCCTCTACGTAGCTCCCATTTTAGGTCAAACAGTTTTGTTACATGTTTCACAATAGCGGTACCGAACCTGTTATAAGTGAACTATTAAGATTCAGGTAGACAAGCTCTTTATATTAAGTTTACAGATGGATGTTTATGTCATGATGGTATGTAAATAATCACTACCTGAGCCACTTCAATTTTATTTATATACTAGCTCACCCGGCAGACGTTGTTCTGCCCTTTCCGACGACCCTTCTTACAAAAATCCCTAAATTCGCAATAAAAAAATTTTCCTATCTCCCAACTTGGACCAAAATGCACACAGTGTGCAAAAATTTCATTGAAATCAGTTCAGTAGTTTAAGAGTCCATCGCGGACAAACAATGTGACACGTAATTTTTACATATAAAGCTTGCACTGCTGTGTTTCAGTCTGTAGGATAATAAGAGCCAGTATAATTAAATACTGTGAGGTTTTCCGTTTTAGTCCTGACGTGCAAACGCATTTTGTAGAATGCTTTGTTTGAAGTTGGTTGCATACATTTTCTAATACTACTTTCTGTACACCTAGAAGTTGACTGGCAGAAAATACACTGTTACATGAAGTCCGCTTTTCTGTTCGCATTTGTGTAAAAGCATAATATAAATACTTTGGAAAATCCAAAAGTGTACGCCTCATGAGCGTTTCATTTAATTTTGATGAAAAAATATAACTTGTATTCCTGACTTATAAACATATAATTTACGTGTATTAAATTTAGGGCTCTATTATTTTAACAGGTAGTATTGCAATAAAAGTAGGCAGGGTAACGTACAGGGAAAAAAATGTTTTTTTTTATAGGATATGAGTGACAAACGAGCACACAGTCCACCTGATGGTAAGTGGTTGCTGCGGCCCATAGACATCTACATCTATCCTCTGTTACAAATCAAAATGTAGATGCGTTGTCACCCGTGAGGACTAAGATGGAATGCCTCATTTTCAGTAAAAAGGGCCTCCGGCCACCTGCACTCACCAAGCGAAACACAGAGCTAAACCTCTACTTCACGCTGGTATTCTGTGAGGTCGTGGTACCACCCCGGTTCGAGCCGGCCCATCCGTGCGACAGCAAAAGCTGCCGCGGGGCTCTACCACTGTTAATGTTTACCAAAATAAATCGATTACACAAAGTATAAAATCGATATAGGCTGAGTAATACATTTGTTCTTTGTCTATCAAATGCAAAAAAAATATATGACAGTGCCTTTAAATTTGAATATCAATAAAACCTACAAAAGTTAAAAATTATTTTATTAACAAATTACGCATACTAGTCTATTGATACGAAATAGGAAACCCGTTGATGTAATTCTGAAGCTAATAAAAAAAACCCGATCTCGATAAGTAACTTTTTTGGGAGTTATCGTGACCACATACAAAATCAACATCCGGACGTCCACGTAATTATTTTCAGTGATTTTTCAAAGTAGCAATATGAAATGATTTTTTTTAGAAAATATAAGATGGATTATTTAGGGTGTTTTCTTGATATACGGCTACTCATATTACCGTATAAGTGCAATATGGTTATGATAGAGGCATTTTAAGAACACAAAATTGCTTAAGCTTGACGTGTCTAGAGAAGAACACACCTATAACGCTTTGCGTTATGAGGCGTGCAGTAAATAAACGACTTCCTCAGCTACCGAGAGTATGGGTAAATCATCAATTTCGGTAGAACCCTCGTACTCTCGTCACAGGGGTTTTGCTTTCTTCTGATACTTGCCACGTGCTTGACCCAAATTGACTGTATCGTGGACGAAAATACACATAAACTTTTTACGGCATATCGCCGGCAGAACCGTTTTTGAGGTCACTACCTCTACACGTAGAAAGAGGTAGCAGATCACGAAAAGTAGATAGAAACTTTTATGATTTGCCAAAATTAAAGCGTCTCCCACACACAAGTGGCTTGCAGTGGCGGCTAACTGCGAGCCGCGACTTCAGCCGCTGTAACAACACACCACTGTATTCGCTGTGGTGTCTATGCTACGATCGGACGTCAGTCAACATGGCTAACCGTAACCGAAATCTTATTACTCTTATTATATTCAGCAATATTATCCCATATTTTGTTTTTAATCCTAATGATTTTGTAATCACGGTGTGAAGTATCATAAAGTACTGGATAATTTTGCATTGTTTCTATTAAAATCTCTGTATTTAGTTCCATTTTTCACGCGGTACACGCGGCCTGTAGTAAAAATTTGCAACTGACCGCGCTGCGGCCACCAATAGGCCGCACGCTCACGCTAACACACATGTGGTGGCGTAGAGGATGGGGCATGCGGCCGGGCAAAACCACTAGCAGGTTTACGGGGCAGCGGCTGGCCGCGACCGCATGCCCCGCCCCTTCCGCCTGTCAGCGAACGTGCGGTCTGTATCGGTGGCCGGTGGCTGTCGCGCGGTCATTTCCAAATTTTTACAAGAGGCCGCGTGTACTGCGTTCAAAACGGCACTAAATACAGAGATTTTAATAGAAACAGTGAAAAATTATTCAGTACTTTATGATACTTCACACTTTGGTTACAAAATCATTAGGATTAAAAACACAATATGGAATAATATTGCTGAATTTAATAAGAATAAAAAGACATTGGCACGGTTAGCCATGTTGACTGACGTCCGATCGTAGCACAGATACCATAGCGAATGGCGCCTCAGGCCGCCGCTGCGACCGCGGCAGTCTCACTCGCGACGTTGTCAGTCTCGCTCGCGATGTTGTACGAAACAGCTGATTTGTGTTTATGTTTTCAAAGTTGTTATTTCTACCCCCAGTTTAAAATTATAATAAAAAACAACGCAAAAATGCCTAAATGTGACCACTGTGACAAACCAATAGCCAAGAAATCTGCTATTCGTGAATACAATAAATGCTCAAAAACTGTGTATGCTAACCAGGTCTGCACCGGCCTAACATCCAAACAATTAGCGGCACTGCGCAACACTGAAAATCAAGAATGGACCTGC